TATACTTTTTATGCTGTTTGCTTTTGTAAATAAAAACCAAAGAAGTCCAATTGTCACAAAAAACTAAAAAAAAAAAAAAAAATTCGCTGCTAATTGAAAGCAAGTATTCAATGCAAAATAGTCCATGGTACTCTTAATTATAATGTTATAATGTTGTACAGTTGTAAAGCGCACTTGAGATATTTCAAAACGAATAAAGAACTATTCATTCAATTCCAGTCATATTTGCTCGGCGAGGCGATTTCAAAATGAGTTTGAATTGAATCCGTTTCATTTAATGTAGCTGGGCAGCACTGGAAAATAATTCGCCGCATTTTTTCGCTGTCCAGTGGTGGCACGTCGATATTCATGAGGAATCTTCATTTATCGAAATGCTGTAATATCGATATGTTGAATTAAAATGAGCGCAAAAAAGGTAAACAATTGGTATTTCGCTTTAAAAACAGAATAAAATATCAGAATATTGTGAACAGAAACCATGGGTGAAGTCGGCATTCAGTCAGCTAACCATGACACCAAAGGCCGGCCCAGCTGCCGTACCCTGCAAGCGCACAAGAAGCGGCAGTGCCGCAGCTGCAGCTGCAAAGGCGGCAGATGCAACTGTAGAATCCACTCCCCCAAGTGCACTGCAAATTGTAGACTTAACCGTGAATGAGGATACTGATGGAGAGGCCAATGCAGCGACACCAGCTGTGAGTGAAAATTGGATGGATTGCTTTGCACCAAACACAAGCGAAGACCTGGCTGTACATCCCAAGAAAGTTGGCGATGTTCGCAACTGGTTGCAGCACTGCGAGGCGATGCGAAAGAAGTATCCGGCCCAGATTTGTCTGCTGACGGGACCAGCAGGCTGCGGCAAAACGGCCACGCTTCGTGTACTGGCCCAAGAGATGGGTTACGAGCTGCAAGAATGGATCAATCCCACAGACTGCGAGGAGATCAATGCGTTGGGCGATCAACCTAACGAGGGAACTTATATGGGCTCCCAGCTGCAGGCATTCAAGAGCTTTTTACTGCGCGCCTCCCGCTACAAATCGCTGCTGTCCACGGGGAACAAGCGATTGCTACTTGTGGAGGACTTTCCAAATTGTTTGTTAAAAGATGCAACAGCCACATTTGAGGATTTGCTGGAGTAAGTTTAATGCACTCACAGAGGAGAATCTGATCTATAATAAAAGAGTTATTTTCAGTGAATATGCCAACTATGGCAAATCGCCGCTGGTCTTCATAGTAGCCGACAGCAAATCCCGTATGCTCAACATCAGCTACAAGCTGTTCACGGATCAACTGAAGGCCAAGCTGCGCATTGAACACATTAGCTTCAATTCCATAGCAGCGACCATTATGCAAAAGTCCATGAAGCGCTTTGCCACTCTGATGCAGCAGCCCCAGCACAAAAGTCTATATAAATTGCCCACGCAGACGGTTGTAGACTCGATTGTGGTGTGCGCCCAAGGGGACATTCGGAATGCGCTGATCAATCTGCACTTTGGTTCGCTGAAAGGGGCGCCGGGCATGGAAACCAAACAGCTGAATGTTAGCGTTCCAAGCAAGGGGCGCAAACGGAAGGCAACAAATACATTAAAATCCATTGGACGGGATGAGTCTATAACAATGATGCATGCGCTGGGTCGAGTTTTCAATCCCAAATGTAATGAATAACATTTCGCTTCTTATATTGAACATTACTGAATCCTTTCGCTATTGCAGATACTGAAACTAAGGACAAGTGTCTGCTGCACAATCCAGAGGACTTAGCTGAAGCCTTTTCCACAGAGCCAAAAAACTTTGTTAACTTTATTCACGCCAACTACCTGCCGCATTTCCAGAATATTGCCAATGTCAATTCCGCGCTCAACGATATTGGACTGGCAGACATGCTGCTCCAAGAGTATAGGGATGAATCGCTCTCCTTGGTGGGCCTTACCATAGCCGTGCGTGGCTGCATGGTGGCCAATGTGACGCCTGTCTCAGGCTGGATGCCTGTGCGCGGGCCCAAACGTCTTACGATTGAGCCACAGCTGACGCCAGCGGAGCAAAGGCTACTAGGCGTGGCCAGTGGTGCCATCTCTAAGCGCCTCTATGCCAGCGAATACAGCTCATTTGTTAAACTGATAGCGGATAAAACCAACTAGGGAAGCTAATTTATAAAATATAGCAACTATTAGTAAAAATTTTCAAATTTTGTCTGCAAATAATTTTTTAACAATTAAATTAAATATTACAATTCAACGCTTTTATTCAATTACAATTCGGGGTTATCTTTATAAAATTTCAAAAATTTCCACAATCTCTTATGCTTCACATTTTTAAAGCAATTTTGGCGGTTTTTCGTTTGTTTTGGATTTGAAGCATTTGATTATAGCGCAAGCCTGTTAAAACTACATAAAAGCATTAGCATTTTTGTTTGCGATCAATTTGAAGTAACTTCCATTCAGTTATTTTCTCCAGGGGTTAAGTATATCATATAATTATTCCAAGGTGTCTTTTTAATAAGCTTATGGCTACAACTTAGCTCTTAAAAACTACTTAAACGTTAACGGAGTTTTCCTAAATCATGCAACGTTTCTACCATAAGTATTAGATCATCTATGTACAGTTCGAGAACTCAATTAATTTCACATGGAACATTTTAATTGGGCTCTCCGTTGACGGCATCGTTATTCTTGGCATCCTCACTGGAGTTGTCATCCTCCTCCATGCGGTTGGCGTCCAACAGAAGCAACTGCTCCTCCTCGTTGGCATGCCCGTTCTGGTGGGCTTCAATCAACAGTTGAGGCGATCGTGAGTGGCTACGACTATGACGATGGGCGCGGGACTCCGCATGGCCGTTGGCTATATTTAGGCCTGCCACGCCCATTTCGTGTCCATCGCTGGTCGAAGATGAGCTGGATGTAGTGCTAGATGTGGAGCTGCTGCTGTCGCTTTCACTGTCTTCGCTGGACGAGTCCATGGGCGTGGGCTCTTGGGGTTGCTGACGCGCCTCTAGTTCACAGACGGCACTCGCCGTTGGAGCGGATGCAGAGGGTGGTGATGCCGCCGCTGCGATTCCAACGAGTAGGGTCGGCGATCGCGGTCGTATCATATGTGATCGGAGCACTAAAATTGCACATTTTATTTTGAAATGATAACAGAAATGTAAGTGTAACATCTCACTCACTTTGATTTTCGCGTGTTAAATCTCGAATCTTTTCCTCCAAAGCGCGAATTTTGGCACCAAACTCCTTTGATATGTTCTGTGCATTGAGACTCAGTTGACGCTGTCGTCCTTGATCTTTAGCATACCGATCCTCGATTTGCAAGCACTCCTGTATGAGCTCCTGTTTGCTCATCGTTTCTAGTCGCTCGACGCGCGCACGTTCGTAGACGTTTGAGAACTCCTTGGAAAGGAACAATTCCTGATCCTCGGTCTGCGAGCCGAAGCAATTATCTTCAAAATCGTCTCTGGGCAACTCAGACATATGCTCCTCCATCAGGAAACGATTCGTGTTATAGGGCACCAGCAACGAACGCGAGCGAACGAGTTTAGTGCGAGCTCCACTGCTGCAGCTGGCATTAGCGCTGTTCATGGTTGCCACGGCTCCCATATCCATTTTCCAGTGCGGATACTGATTCTTCGTCTTCTTGGGTAGCATTTTGGATTTCTTTCCTCGTCGATGCTTGCGCCTTTGTGTTGCGCCGGGAACGCCTTGGGAACTTTCTTTAAAGACAACGAAACGAAATCATATTTTCTTTTTGAATAACGGCCGTCAATCGATTACAATTTAGCAACTCTGGCAACGAAAGCGACATCAACAGCAAAAGTCTATCGATATCCACTAATAAGATAGTCGCCATTGTCGCTTACATACGCACGAATGCAAAATTTGTTTGCACAGCTCTGTGACCAATTTTTACCTGGTTTCGCAGCTTCAGCCATTAGAAATTCACGCACAAAACAGTCTATGTTGGATTTTAGCACAAGTATATGTGTTTTCACAAACTAAACACTTGTTAAACTTAATTTAAGACCTTAGCTCCAAGCGAGAGCAGCGCGTATGAAAGAGAAATGGCTAAAAACAATGTCTACACCGATAGTTGTATCTGAGCAGAATCGATTTTCCCGACTGCATATCGATGTGTTGTAGCTGTAGTTGTATCGTAAAACTCCTACAATTTGAATAAATTTCGGACTCACAGTTATTTTTTGCACCCAAGAAAAGTTTACATATATATTTTACCAAAGTCATAACATAAGTATATAAAGGACTGTATAAATTAATTCGTCAGGCTTTTAGATTACTATGTATCCACTCAATGTAGGAGGCCACACGGGTATAGATATCCGGCCAGCCAGTACTTGGACACGGTACAGGACCGAAAGACAACAAGCCGCCAAGAAGATAAACGTTATTCTTTAACAACATAAGCGGACCGCCAGAGTTGCCATGACACTCATTGGTTTTGGCAGACCCGCACAATTGGGATGCCATAATATGTATATTTTGGGCGGCATATTGCTTCTGACAGGCTTCGATAGACTCAATGATAACCTCACTCTTTCTTAGGCGTGAGCTGGAGGTGGCCTTCCAGCCGCCCACTTCCGTAACCAGATCCTCCAGCTCATCGGCGTGCAGCTGCTGGTTTGGCAAGCAAATGGGCTGCACGTAGTTGTTGAGCTGGACGGCATCCTTCAGTCGTATCATTGCAATGTCATACGTTTGACTGAGGCTGTCCTTGTTATAGTCCGGGTGCACAATGATCTCTTCGATGAGCACGTCCTGGTAAGGAGGAGCACATTCCGTTTTGACAGGTTCCCCACTGACCTGGCAATCCGGATTTGTCAACGTATCCCATTCGCCCAACCGTACGGCACGCATTTGCCAGCCTCCGCTGCTTATCGCCTTTCCAGAGGCACAATGAGCCGCCGTTAGCACATAGCGTTCGCTGATCAAAACGCCGCCACAAGCGTGAAGTTTCTCTTGGCTTGCTGCGTAATTTGGAAAAAAAATCAATGATAAGAACTAAGCTCACAATTAGTGTAATAATAAATGTCATTTACTTACGTTTCGTATACTCAATCAGCGCCAGCCACGGATACTCATTTATTTTCGTTTCCGTATCATTGGAGCGCTGCCATTTGACCCCGCCGCATTCGCGAGGCAATAGTGGATGTGTCAAGGCGCCCAAGCTATCTCTACTCACTAGCCCTGCGCCAGTTCCACCTTGAATGGGGCAACACACCTTCAACGAAACATAAATAATTTGGATTTGCATAAATCTATTGACTGCTTACGTTAATATTCCCATTCTGTTGTCGGTTGCACTGATTATCCCTGAGCAGATTCCTATCAGACTGGGAAACAGGCGGTGCAGAAAGTATCCCCATGAAGTACTCACACTCGCGCACAGGAATACATTGCCCCATGACTCGTCCATTGCGGATGAGCGACAAACAGTCTCCTTTCCGTTGGGCTGCAGATAGGTCCCAATATTAAGCTCACAAAAGACGAGTTTGTTGAAAAATCCCATAATTACCTGCTGCTGCGCTCAATGTCACCGCCCAGACAACAACAACGGCTGTTAACCTGCCTGAATTAACTCCCATGCCCGTGCAGCTACTAGTTAGACGCTTTCACACAGTCAGTCCAAGCGTTCGAAATTTTTAGAATATTTAGAACGAATATATATTAGGCAGGCCTAGCTGTTGAAACGACGCCAATCAAGTTGGTGTTATGACTGAATGATCGAGTTGTGAGCCAAGCTGCTGTCTCCCACAGAGAGAGCGTGATTCCAGATAACATAAATCAAGTGGCTTCATTTGTGTGTTGAACGGCCGGCAAAGTGACCATAAAGTCTTCAAATCGTTATTACGTTCGATTTGAAACTTTTAAACAATACAGTTGGTCGTTACCGTAAATATCTGTGTAATGTGAAATAAAATCGAAATTATTTACAAGTGAGATAAACGTAACCGTCGTCTGTCCGGTAACTGTGAACAGAAACGAAATACTTGTGACTAGCCGTTGCTGTCTGCTATTCGTCTGTTACAAATTAACAGCAGCTGTTAAATTCAAAACTGCAGTTAATATGTAGTTTTTGTGACAAATTAATCATCAAAATATTAAATTATGTTTGTCAATATATAACTAAAGTCACTCCGAAACACTTTAAACTCAAAATAATCATATAGGTTTCTAAAAATTTTAATACGATTGAAAGAAAATGTTCCAGACGAGAGTAAATGTTCGCTGTTAATAGCAGTTCAGCAAAATGTTATCCATATGTCATTGTATTTGTGTTAACATATTTTACACGTATGCGCACACACGCTCAAAAAGTTCGCAGGCGCGTGAAGAAATTAAATTTAATAAAATAATCGCATTTAAATCAATGCCCAAGCAATCTAAACACAATAAAGTGTATCAATAAAGATTTCCCTACAGCCTGACGATCGTTTTGAGTTGGCTATCAAAAGATTTCAAGTCGAAAATTGCATTTGAAAGTGTGATCACGGTGCAAAGAAAAAATTTTCTGCGAAAAATTCCCAGGTCTGTTTGCTGGCGTAATTGGCAATGTATCAGGTTGACTTTGTGTGCGTGCGTACGAGAGTGTTGGTGAATTTGTACGAGCTATGGTGCATCAGTGTTGAGAGCGCTGAATAGCTTGGATTGGTGTGTATGTGTGAGCGCAAATGCAAACAGAAGCAAAGAGCGCGGACAGCAAACGTCTAGAGTAGTCGAGCTGCAGGCTAAAATTTAAAAATGTTGTGTTTCAAGCCAAATTTAACAGCACAATTTATTAAAACTTTTTATTTATTTTCAAAAATAAATGACGTAACATTATTGCATACATTACATAATTGTGATTTTAAATATTTTTGTTAAAATACTCAGTAAATTATTTGGCAACCCTGCTCTTGGGAGGGTACCTAAAACAACAAAAACCAAGTATATTGCGCGCGTCGCTGCGGCGCCAGTTTGACGTTTGACTCGTCATCAGACGGTTGGGTAAATTTTTCCTCTCTGTTGCTGCTGCCCCTGTGTGCTTGTTTATATGTATGTATGTGTTGTGTTTTTGTGTGAGTGTGTGTAGGTCTGTGTTTGCACTGCTTGTGACGCATTCTTGTTTTGAGGCAAATCAACGCTAAAAACAAACTTTGAACGGCGTATATAGCAAAGAAAGAACTGAATCGTTGATTATAAAGAAATGCTGAAAATCTGAAGATCATTTTGGTAATAGTGATAATTGAAATAAGCAGAAACAAGTATAATCAGCATATGTACAAGGTAATAAGTGCAGAGATGGTGGTGTGTTGACCGCGCTGGTATGGGTGTGTCGCTCTCTGTTTAGCTGTTTGTGTGTGAAGTGAAAGATGTGAAAGAAAAAGAAGGCACAAAAAAGGGCGACGTCGCCTCGGCTGAATATAAAGCAAAACGAATAAAAATGCCGGCATTGTCGAATTTCAAGTGCGCTTTACATACATATGTTTGTATATGATAAAAAGAAAATAAAAAGAAAACAAAGGATTGTCGGTCAATATATGTATATGTAATTAAACAAGCGAAAAAAAAACATTGCTGTGCTAAATAAATACTGAAAGCATAGCTTGCAAAACGGCTTTCTTTTAAGTGCCCCAAAGTTCATTTACACGAGAATTTCKAATTTGTTTTGTTTTGTTAATTTGTTTATTATCACCCCTACCAATACGGTTGCAAAAGCGTCTTTTATACGAGTGCGGCTGCGTATGAATTGTGATGTACCAGGCGGTGATAATTACGTTTCGCAATAATCATCATGGCAATCGTGATTAAGTGTGTGTTTGAGAGTTGCCAAAATATCGCGTTTAGACCATGAAATAAAACTTACGCGAGCAAGACAGAGACAGCGTTTTCTGTAACGGCACTCATAGGTGCCGCAAAATACAGTCATGTGTGTGTAGTGTTTGTGTCTGCATGTGTTTATTACATACTTATACCTGTGCAGTTACATTTTGGAATACATGTGCAAGAGTGTTGTGCAGCTGCCCAGGCTATAAAAGCAACAGTACAAAAAAAAAAAAAGAAGAAAAAAATAAATAGTGTAAAATAATGAAGCATATGTTGAAAACTGAAGTGGGAAGTAACGGGGACGTCCCACACACTCACAGACCAAGTCTGTGCCTGTTGGCGCTCTTTGCTTTGCTTACATCTGCCGTTTGGCACAGCCTCGTTGCGGTCGTCATCAGCAACAGAAATACATGCATACATATACATATAAGTATGCATATGTATATAAATATGTACATGTAGACATACATAAGTACTCACGTTTATTTTGTGCTTTTTCTTTTACACATTTAGCCTTCAGTTTCCGGTTATGAAGGAAACAAACGGGTTCGGGTTTCCTGCACTTGCAATAACTATATATATGTATGTATATGTGCGTTCTGTGTGCATTTCATTGTAGTATGTGCGTCAATAACCACAACGTGACTACGCGACGGATGCTGTTTCCATTCCAGCTCGTCCCTAGAGTTGCGCCGTTTTGCTCGGAATAAGTTCAATTGAACGGGTCATTGAAAGAAACAGTCAAGCTGATTCTATTCATTGGTGTGTGCATGGAAGCAGTTTAGTTATTAAATTGTTTATAAAGAAAACAGGATAATGTTATTTGCATTTTCATGTGCATGTAGATATATCTATTGATAATAATCTTTCATGTTTTCATTATCATGTTTTTATTTTTTATTTTTTAATAAACCGAATAAAATCTTATTCGTTAATGTGTGATTCGAATCAGTTCAGTTATTAAATTGCTTATGAATCAGGATAATGTTATTTCATTTTCATTTTGTAAATATCAGAGATAGCTCATGTTCTGATTATGTGAACTTTCCTAAAGTTGAACTAGAATTTCCAGCTGTGCTCTTCCATCGCAATCCATACATAATTTACGTGAAGCTGTCACAAAAGAGCGACAGTTCATTGTTCACTCTTCAAGCGTTGCCAACCACAGATATCTATATACATATGTATGTGTACACATACGTACATATGTATAGGAAATTTGTATGTGCATAAAACATTTTAATTTGATACTACTAGTTAGGCTATTATACTCTGTACTGGAAACTATTTAGCAAAGAGTTCCACTCACTGTAGCTGCGGAGCGTTAAGCGTAACGATGCGAACGCTTTGCGCTCTCAATTAACCTCTCAACCGGCTTTCTGCCTGCCTGCCTGCCTGCGTGACTGTCTATCCATCCGTCTGTCTATCTGTCTGTTTGACTGCCTGCCTGCCTGCGTCTAACCAGCAGACCTTTCAGCCTATGCAACCTTTATAATTCAACAGAGAAACATTTTCTATAAGGGTTTTCATTTTACTGCCTCTTCTTCTTCTTCTTCTTCTTGAAGAAGGTCGTATAATTTAAGACAGAAGAGATTTGTGTTTCAAGCAGCGAAAACATTCTTTGTGAAAGCACTTTAACAGCATTCAATATAATCCACACCCACGACCACTCGTCCATCCGGGTTACCTACCGTTCAAGCCTCACTAACAGACCGGACGTCTTAGTGTTTGGTGTATTATTGTTAGATTTATGAGAAACTAGCATATGTATGTATGTCTATTGAGATATCACAACTCTGAAAGACGTCAATGCCCTATTTATGAGATGTTTAATATCCGTCTAAGAATCAAGCTCGTAACAGCTTAAACTTTTTCAACACGAATTTGACTGTATATAAAAATTTACTTCTGTATACCTTAATCTATTCATTCAGAGAGTTTTAGTACAATATTAGCATTAACAGCTCCAAGCTAAAACAATACATAACATTTAATGGGTTTGGAAGTAAGTGACTATATACATATGTATGTATAGCTAGAAATATGTACATATGTATATGTATTGTTTTAGCTATTATAAATTCGTAAATAATAATATAAGGATTAGGCACCCATTTCCAAATCATTTCCACATTTCCAAACTACACAGATGTATGTATCTTTTGTCCAGATACAGATTCCAGATTGTAGACTAGGCAGACAGACTCTACTGAAGTTTGTAGCACCTTCAAGCTTTGTACTAGTTGCTCTGACTTCTTTTGTTTAGGTATTACGGGTTAAGAGTTTGGCTTGTTCTTTTGTCATTTTATCATCATTCGAGCGTTTCCAAACGCTCGAAAAGAAAAAGAAGAAAAAAACAAGAAAAAACCAGTTAACATTTAACTCCAAAAAAGGCTAAAGCCGTTGGCAAGTCTCGTAAAAGATGTTGATGGCGATTGGGACAGGGTGTGAAGCGGCGGAAACCACAACAGAATACGGCAACAACAACAATAACAACATGATCAACAACAACAACTTCAAACTTCACTGTAGTCATTATTTGCAATTATCGGAATGTTTCTTTGGTTCTTCTTCCATTTTTATGTGCACGCTAAATCCATTTGTTGTTGTTGTTTTTCTTGTTTTTGTTATTGCCATAGGTTTCTCTTTGCGGCTTAGGATCAAAAACCTTTGCCTAGCTTTTAATGTATATATGTATGCGTGCTTTTATATACATACATATGCTATTTGTATATGTATATATGTATGTATACAAGCGTGTTTGCTTTTGAGCGTATTTTTGTTTGATTTCTGTTTTGAGCATATTCGCTAAGTTTTAACCTTAAATTTTTCAATGCCGTCTTCAGACATATGTATGTGTGTATGTATTACTGTGTGTGTAGTGTTTTGGTCTTCGTCTACTTCTCAGCATAGTAAATAAATGATAAACAAAACTATCACGTCGGCACACACATACACAAGCACTCATCACAGCAACTCTTGCATTCGTAAGTGTGGGCGGGCTGTGCAGCTTGATTGCCGTCTCATAATTTCCTTCTTACTCGGAAATGTAAACAAAAAACATATGCATGTATGTCTGTCCATATGTACACTGCAATTCAATCCGATGTGAACTGTCAAATGCAAAATACATACCTACAAACGTTTATTCACTCTTTGGAAATACGAGTTGAATTGTAAACAAAGCAGCAAAGCAGCAGCCGTGGTAGGCAGACAGCCAGGAATAGCAGGAAGAGGAAGAGAGGGTCTGGGGGCTATTATAATCTTTATAATATTAATCAATGTGAGTGTATACAAAATGTTATTGCATTCAACTTGTAACTAGCCAAACAAGTAAAATATTACAGTTCATTAAATTGCATTCAATTTGCCATATGGTCAGTTACTTGTTGATATTAGCAATTACTCACATACACACATATATACGAGTAAATGCTTAAATGTATGTATATTTATTGTATACATACGAATGACGATCTATCAACGTATGCATATTATAATCATATTGCACTTAACAGGTGTCATTTGGTCTTATATCTTAACAGTTTTCACATATCATTTCTAGCTTTATTTTTTCTACAAATTTATTTATTTATTTATCAAGTATAGTATTCATGTTTTTCAAGCTTTAAACACAGTTATAAAGAACATTGTATATGGTCTATAGGAATGAACTGGTTATATTATATTCGAAAAAATAGAATCATGACGTATTTTAGCTCATTTCATAAGAAACAGTTAAATTAAGCGAGATTAGTCAATAGCATTTTTAGCCAAAAATGATAACTAAATATACATATGACTCAGAGAAGACTTATCAATTATATATACATACATACATATGTATATGCTTTGAATGTTTTTGACTTTCTAGGAATTAGTCGAAATTCCTATTTTCAGCTTATAAATTTTCAATAAATACATACAGTCTGTCAAGAAACACTTTACACAGTGGAAAAAAACTCAATTTTTTTACTTTATGTGCAAAAATAAAGARTTTTTGTTTAATTTGGCTAATTTTTTTTAATGGTTAACTGTTTAATAGATATTTTTAAATTAAATTATAAAAAACAGAAACAAAAACAATAAGGGTATAACTTAAAAAACAACAAAAACTTAGATTACTCATATTTGACACTGTCAAGAAACTCTTTACACATTTNAAATGTGTAAAGAGTTTCTTGACAGTGTCAAATATGAGTAATCTAAGTTTTTGTTGTTTTTTAAGTTATACCCTTATTGTTTTTGTTTCTGTTTTTTATAATTTAATTTAAAAATATCTATTAAACAGTTAACCATTAAAAAAAATTAGCCAAATTAAACAAAAATTCTTTATTTTTGCACATAAAGTAAAAAAATTGAGTTTTTTTCCACTGTGTAAAGTGTTTCTTGACAGACTGTACATATATGTACATATATTAAGATATGGGTCAACAGATATTATCTATACGCTAATTTCGAATTTTTATCTTTGTGATATTTTAGAAACTGATAAGCAACATTTTTATTCGATATATAAAACGCAATTGAAAACGTCTCAGCTTTGATTAGAAGTACATATTTAATTTTTATGAACTTGATTTGTTTTGCTTTCTTGTTTTTGTTGTTTTTATTGTAGCTGCGCAGTCAATAATTGTTGCTCGCTTTCATTTCGTTTGATTATATACAAACGAATGCGCATATCTGCATACATGTGTGTGTGTGTGCATATCATATGTCTATACTCGCAATTGTTTTTGTTCCCGTTTTCAGTTTTCGTTTGGCATGCAAATTTGTGTACGCGGTTTGTTGCTATTGCTGAATTCGCTTGCGACAATAAAAGTTTCTCTCACTGCACTCGTATACGTGCTTAAGTGTGTGCGTGAGCGTATGCGTATGTGGTGTGAGAGAGTTCGTTATTATTATTATTATATTTTGATAATTGCAAATTTCGCTTTGTGTTTTTATCAGCAGTTTGTTTTTCCTCCGTCTTCTGTCTCTATTTCTCTCGTTGCCGAAGCGGCAACGATCGCAAAGAAGAAAGTGCGCGATTCGCTTGAATTAGTTTACAGCGAATCGCAAGTAAACCGATTTATTGACACGAGATATACATATAATCAAACAAACATACATACATTTGTATGCACGTACATATGTGCACAAATATTTTGTTTTCATGACCTTTTATAAATACTCTATATGGGGTATATGGGAGCAAATATAATGTTATATAATATTATTGAAAATGTTTTTAAACATATATACACATATACATATTATTATGAGTATTATATTTATTAATTAATGGGTCAATATGCATATGTTTGACTGCAGGGTACTCTCAGTAGTCGTGTATTATTTTTTGATAACTGTAACATTCTCGATTGAGTCACTTTGTTTATTGTTATTGCAGCTTGTTCCACATGTGCGGCTGTGTATATGTGTGTTTATGTTAGCGAGAAAGAGAAAGGAATGCTGTTGCTCTGTACCGAGTTCAGTGCAGATGTATGAGAAAACGGAAAAGAAAACATCTCCGATATCATTGCAAGTAATCATAATATGATGGCTCGATATCGATATCGATTATTTAGTAGCTTCTCTGAAATAAAACTTGCAATGCAATCAAGAATTATTTGATGGACATCTGTGACAAGAGTATCTACTAGTGATTACTCTCGAAAAAACGAACTTGCAAATTAAGCGATTTTTTTTTGGTTTTTTCGTGTGAGTGTATGCGTGTGTGTTTGTGTTAATGTGTGCGCGCTTGGAAAGAGCACACGTGACAACGCCCCATTGAAAGCGCCGCTCTTTGCTTTATCAGCAGTGGTTTTCTCCATTTCAATGACTATACTAACTGCTTGTTATCTATTACAGATCAAATAACAAAAGCCAGGCGGCAAATATAAATATACATACATATATATATACTCACTCAGCTACTCACCCCACAAGCAACTGCAAAATAACAAGAGGAAGAAGTAGCAGAAGTGGAATCGGAAGAGCAACAATAGCTAATACAACGGCAACGGCTGCGAATTGGACATGTCATGTCAGCAAGCGTCAAGATTCATTACAGCAGCAGCGACAGCAACAGTAGCAACAGCAGCCAAAAGCCCAATATCAGCAACATTAACAACAACAGCAACAGCAAAGCGCACATCGACACCAACATCAGCTAAAACAACGCCGAATTCAGTGATTGTGGAGCATAACATTGGTGTTGCTGCCGCCAAAACGAACCCGCCTGAGGATCCCTATGTATTCACAGAGACTATTGCAGCGACACCGCCAATTTTATTTAATGCACAGGTAAAACTAAAGCTAAGCCAAGTCATGTCAAGGCGAAGCCAAATTAAACCAAAACAATGCCCTCACTCACTYACACACCCACACGCACACACACCTTTATATTGTTGTAGAAATCGCGAATCCGCTTAAGTGAAGCGCAGCACGGCAGAAATTGCAACARCAGCAGCAACAACAACAACAACAATAGCAAGAGAGTTGCAAACAAAAAAGCGAGCATTGTTGCTGCAACAACAGTGCCCATTGCGCAGTTGAATGGCACTGCAACAGCTACAACAGTAGCGGCAGCGCCAGCAACTGTAGCAACAGCGCGTGCAGCAGCAGCAGCAGTAACAACAAAGGCGCAGGCGTCTTTGGGTGCAGCAGCAACAACAACGAATTTCAATAATGTCACACAATCTCAAAGGCAGCCAACGTCACAGTCGCAGCTGCAATTGCAGTCGCCGTTGCAGTTGCAGTCGCAAGCGTCGCCGAAACGTGCCACCAACGTTTGTGTGGTACGTCCACAACAGCAACTACAGCAACAGCAACAACAACAGCAGCAGCAACAACTGAAGCAACAGCAAACTAAATTGATTACTAAGCAGCCAGCACCACATCCGCCACCACCGCCACCGCCGCTATATACGCACACGCCTTCGTTGTGGCAAACGCCGCTCTTATTGGACACCACACAGAAGCAGCAGCACCAACAAGCGCAGCAGCAGCAACAACAGTCCAATATTGCCGTTGCTACAGCGCTGGTCAGCCCGCCCACATCGCCCGCCTCGTTACCCTCACCCACGGCTAATGCACCGCCGACAGCAGCTGTGACCGCCATGGTATCGCCCATCGTGGTGCCTCTATCAGCCGCGTCTGCGGCGATGTCGCCGCCCAAGGGCGGCTCTTTGCCGCCGTCCAAGTTCCATCACACGACGCTGGCGCAGCACCTGCAGAAGGTGGAATGTCTGAAGAAAAAGAAATCCATGCCGCTGGCTTGTCAGAATTCCAACAACAACATTGTTGAGTCGTTGCACAAGGCGTCGACGCCGTTCGCCGTCTACAATTTAACGCATCCACCTCCGCTAACGGTTTTCAATACTGCAGCAACAGCAGCATCAGCAGCGGGAGCAGCAACACCTGCATCTGCTGCTGCTGCAGCAAAAAAACATTCCGGCGATGCTAGCGATGACAACGATCTCAATGAGATTCCCGTCAATGTCATCTTTCGGAAACCGCCCGAGCTTTTGGCTGGCGCTGGAGCAGTCGCACAAACAACGCCACGCCCAGCAGTCGCCATGGGCCAGCAGCAGTCGGCAATGATGAAGCTGGGCGCTGTGGCGCCATTAACACCGCCAACGCCGCCCACGCCGCCGTCAACGCCACAGTTGAGCAACCTGTGTGCACCGCCAGCCACAGCAGCAGCAGCGGCAATGGCAACAGTTATCACACCCGCCCTCACAACTGGAGTAGCAGCAGCCACAGCAGCAGCAGCAGCAGCAGCAGCAGCACCTATAGCCAGCATTCAATATGAACAAACGTCTTCCAAAGTGGCCAATTCTTTTGTCAGCCAGGCTGCAGTGCCGAAACGCAAAGCGCAGGCAGCAGCTGCCACTGGCTGCAGAAAGGCCAACAAAACCAATAACAAAAATGCTGCACTAGCCACTTCTGCTCCGCCGCCAGCTCCGGCTCCAGCTCCAGCTCCACCTCCACCGCCACCGCCGACAACAACAGTTGAGCAACCAGCAACGGCTGCTTCGGCAGTTCCAGCGTCAGAGCCAACATCGATTAGCACCGTGTCGCGGCGCCGGAAAGTGCCGCCGCCAGCGACCAAGCGGAATGCACTGTTGTTAAACGAGAACGAGCCTTTGGAGTTCGATGTTCCATACTGCTTTCAAACACGTTGGTTCCATGCTGGTCAATATTTGGTCGAGGAGCCACAGTCTGGGTTGAGCAATCGCGAGGAGCGCATTGCTCTACGCAAGGGTGTACTGCGTCGTCAGGCGCTGCAGTTGCTTTCGACGCGCACGCTCCAGGAGCTGCCAATGCGTGCGGCACGTCAGCGACTGCAATGTGTTCAGAATCTACTTCTTAAGTACGGGGACCATGCGCGCCAGGAGCAGGGCATGTAAGTACACTCTTAATAATATTGTCCAAATGAAAGTAAACCAAAATAACTATTTATCTTTGCAGTGGCGTGGGCAATCGTTGCCTGGTGGCTGCGTGCAAGCAACCCACGCTCAGCATGGCTGCCCACTGCGAGCGACACATTGTCAACAACACGACGCAGCAGCTGTTCCAGCCGTGCGTCGCTTGGCGTATGGATGGGGTGGCCTGTCAGGCGCCCGTCTTCGATGTGCTGCACACACTGGCATTGTGCCCGGCTCACAGTCATCTGCGACACGGCATTGAGGTGCAGTCCAAGGTACAGAAAACGCAGCAACGGGCTAAGGCGGTGCAACAGCTGCCCAAGCCTGCTGTGCCGGGTCCTATGCCAGCGGTGACTGCGAATGCACCAGTGGCTAATAAACGTAAGCGCAAAACGAATCCAAATGCCAATCCGGTTGGCCGTCCGCAGAAGCGTGCCAAAAAGCCAGACGTAGTCGCTAACACCACCTTACCTGCATTGCCGCCAGTGTCCGCGGTGCTGCAGCGTAAGAGCAGCACCACCTCGCTGGAGTCCATTGCGAGCAATTCGCAGTCGTCGGCCATGTCGCACTCGGCTCTGCCGCCCTACACACCTGCAGCGCCTGTGATGACGATGCCGCAGCTGTCCATAATACCTCCAGCGTTGGCTCCGCTCAGCGATTGCCAGCAGACACAGCAGCATCAGCAGCAATGTCCGCAGATGCTGCTGCCGAAGAGCGAGGCAGAGCAGCAGACGCAGCAGCTAGATGCTAATTTGCTGGCCAATGCTAATTTCAAGGCCGATGAGATTAGCCAGATTGTGGCACAGCTGGCGGCTGCCAGTAGCGAGTTGCATCATAATAACAACAACAACAACTTGCACTTCAACAACAACAACATCAACATGAACAGCAACAACAGCAATAGCGTAAACTATTGCAGCAACAACAGCAGCAACAGCGGCAGCAGCAGCATTAGCTGCGGCTTTCCCTCGTTCAATGCAGCTTTTGGCAATGCCCTGAGCGGCCAGGGCCAGCAGGTGGCATCGCATCATGCCAACACTGCGTTGGCCAGCACAGAAAATCTGCTGAGCCAGCATATGTTTGGCATCTGCGAGAACAGTTCGGCCTATGCCAGCTCCGAAGATACGGGCCTGGGCGGTCTGAGTGAGTCGGAGCTGATAGGCGCTAATGATGCTGGTAAGTGGAGAACATATTCGCCTTATATTCGAAATCGGCCAATTGCTAACTATTCCCATCCAACTCTTCCAGATGATATAGCATTGAATGGCGCCCATCTGCTGGAGGAGCACGATTTGGTAAATGTGTTTGATACGCTGCCGGAGGATGCGTTCAACGAGTTATTTCAATCTGGTGTGTATTTCATAATAACAAAGTTAACTCTGCTTTTCATTGTACTAATTAATGTGTGCACCTCTCCGCCAATGCGCCACCTGTGCTGTGCTCTGCTGCAGTGCAACAAGCCGAGTGCGAGGCCATGGATCGCGCGCTCGAGATTGCCGATAAGAACCTCAAGTGTCTCCAGCAGACAATCGGCAATACTGCGCACGACAGCGCCTTCCTTAACGATTTCCTCGACGTGGACGATGATCTGCTTGTGAACGCTGTAATGAACTCGCCGAACGCATCCGACATTGATGCATCCACGCTCTTTGTCGATAGCAGCGGCGGCGGAAACAGTAGCAGCAACGGTGCTGCCGGATCCAGCTCCAACAGCTGCACGCCGGCGGCCTCCGTCGCGGATATACGCGGCCTGGTACAGACTTAAGTTGGCCTAAGCCGCACTTGTGTATACGCTTCTAACGAGTCTGCGTAGCTCGTTTTTTTCCAAAAGTTCTTTCGACAGAAATCTTTTAGATCTTAAATGAAAACTGATAAGAAACCACATTGAAAGAAAATCGAACTAAATTTCTCAACGAATGTTGATAACACTTTTTATGTTTTCTATATTTGCCAAAATTTTCTTGTTTGGCCATCGGAGAAGCTTTGCAATTTCACTCTACTCCAATTTCTTGTCTAGAATACATTTCTATATATGTTTGTATGTATAGTATGCTATACATATATTATATAACTGAAGCAGCATATAATTAATTCGTGTTATTGCAAAAAAAATCGAATGAAAAAAATAAAAAAAAAAACTATAACAAAAGCAAAAAAAATTACGACTACAAATAATTACAAGAAAGTAAAATGTAAATTCGCGTGGAACCTTAGCGTTACAGTTAATACTTAATTTGATCAGTTAGTACAACAAAACATTTAAGAATTAACAAATGTGAAGGAAATGTAGAAAGCAGGAAACACACACACACAGAAACACGCCCACAGAGTAAAAGAGGGAAAATAATGAAAGGAACGTAGGAAATCTTAGCAAAAAAGTTGAATTCGAAAGCGTGAAAGAAATGCTAAATATCGCATAGAAGACTTAAGTTCTAAATAGGCATAGACTTTGTTTAGTTTTTGTTTTTATAGGCGCATTTACATCAAAATCCCCGTTAAATGAGAAATGTAACAACAGCAGCAGAAGCAAAAAGAATTTAAGTTTTTTAAACACATACACATACACACAAACACACACACATATATATAAATGTACAAGGGATTACATAGTTTGAAACCGCGAATCGTATTACTAAATATACATACATATACATAAATATATGTATAAATATATATAAATAATACACAGACCTATGTAAGCTTTAATTTAAATGAAACCAACTGACAAAATCAAAATGCAACTTGACTTTTAAGTTCGCAGAAAAAAAAAAAAAAACAAGCAAAACAACAAAAATACAAATGCAAAAATGATTTTGTTCGTAGTTGATTTAAAGGATTAAGTAATTCAATTTTCATATATTTGAAGATATTTTTTACTTTCGATCTTTGGTCTACGTACTACATACATATGTAAATTAACGATTACATATTAAATAGAGTTATATACATACTTTATATACTGAAATGTAAAATTATTTAGCTTAAGTAATATACAAAACACACACATACACATGATGTATCCACAAATACATACAAGAAAACTGTTACGCTTTAAATATAAATCATTTAACGCCCCAATCTACACGCCCACCTCGCACATACGCACACACACACACGCACCTACACCTACACATACCCATACACATACATTGACATCGACTTACACCCATCCATTGTAATATTTCATTTGTCATCTTTGCAAGTATTAAATGAGAGAAACCGTTTAATAAAAACAAAATATGAATACATCAAATTATATAAATTAAATATATGCATGCAGCATTCGATTTACATCATGCCTCGGCATCGCACATTGAGGATCTTCGTTATGGACGTGTACAAGAGAAGGGAACCACTCGTACTTTAAACTTAGTAGACAAAACTGTAATATATATACATACTTATATATACATACATATATAACTATATACAATTATCTTAGACACATGTATATTAATCCTCTCTCTCTCTCTCTCTCTCTCTCTCTCTCTATCTCTTTCTATCTATCTCTGTCTCTTCATATGTACTGTTTTGATTTTTTGATTGATCTTTGGCATTAATTTAGTTTAACTTAATTAAGTTCACTTTAGTTGGCAACTAGCTTACATATACATATAAAAATGGATATATACATATATAAAAAAAACTTCTTTTGCTGTGCAAGTAGCCCGAACAAAATTCTTTTCGAAGCTAAAAAAACAATGTATTCATTTCAATATTAATTGAATTATTATTATTTACTTTTTGTATTCAAAYGAGTCGTTTATACATACATATATGCAAATATATGTCTTTATACAGAATATGTGAAGATGTATTTGTTAAGAGAAGATAGAAGCGGCCCATCCAACAAAAAACTCCACGTTGCAACTCGGCCAAAAGCAAAGATTGGTTCACAAAGTTGTGGAATTTTTTATTTTTATTTTCGGTTCGGAGTTCAAACCACTTTTTGTAGTTTACATGCATTTTTGTGATCTAATTTGTGTAATTATTATAAACGAAAAAATATTAAACAAAAAGAGAAATAAATATATTATAAGCAAAAGAAAATAAAAAAAAAATAGAAGAGAAATAAAAATATTGATTTTATGGCAACTGCAACTAAATGTTTTAAATGTAAATTTGTTGGAATTTGGTTAATGAAATTATTTTTTTGAATTACCATAATTTAGATAACTACCATACCATAGAATACGATGGGCTTCGGCTTGGGAACCCTTTGGAGCTCGACTAAAAATAAGAACTCTCAATCAGTCCTTTTAGTCGTTATGAATTGAACTTCTAATTTAGCTTCACTTACAATATTTCATATGGATATAAATTTTTCTTGACAATTGAACATTTGCTTTAGTTTTCATATGGGTGGCCTCGTTACTGGGGGGTTTCGTAGCAAGCTTTTGCAGACTGTCAGACGAGCTGGCGATACAAAATACAAAATAAATTAAACACAATTTTCTGACAATAATCCAGTTCCTTCGTCTAAACACACACACGCATAGTTCCAATTCAAAAAAACAGTAAAACCGCGTTATAGCGATCTATCAAAGGTTAACCTTTCTTCGTTTTGCGGTCGGCCAACTTAAATTTTGGAGTTGCATTTGAAATTTTTGCTTATTAAATTTTTGATTTCAAAGAAAAAACGAAAAAAAAAAGAAAAGAAGACGAACGTCATAATCCAACTGGACAGCCAATTCCCCAGCGAATTTGGTCTGCTTTGGCCAAGAAGTAAACCAAACCGAACCAAGCCAAACGAAAAAGAAATAAAAAAGAAAAAAAAAAAAGAAAAAAATTTACAAGTTGGTTAATGATCGCGGAAAAAATAGGGCATTTATCTAGTAAATAGTTGATGACGGTTTTAATCATTTTGTTGCTCAGTAGGCAAGGTTTTTGATGATTACAAATGTCTGAATGTTAAAGTAGTCGTAACAAATCAAAATATTTTATATATTTATAATCTTCGGCCAATTGGAATACAAACACGGACGTGGTAAGTTCTTTAAACAGCATCCGATCTTTCAATTCTTAATCAATTCTAACGAGCTCTTAACTTTCCATGACTATTATATTGCGCCAGCACAGCTATTGTGTTATATTTTATATGTCTGGAAATACGAGGGAACACTAGGATTATAGAAAACGAATTCTTTAAAAACAGTGCAATATCTCAAGCAAGAAATTAAATGCAGTAAGTATAGAAAGTCTTCTTTACCAAAATCTATATATTTACATGGGTCCATTCTTAAGATACGCCTATGAACTAATCTTAAGTCTAAATATAATAAATAGTTTGGCTTAGCCTAGAGTGCGGTCGATGCATCGGCTATAACTCTGTAGTCTCCAGTTTCCGCGCTAAGATTTGAGCATTATTCGTTAGTTTGTCAATTTGATTGTATAGATTGAAATGCCGATTCAGGTCGTTCGTATTGTTGAACAATTTGGCAGTACCCTTGAGGGTTTCGCGTAGATCCTGTGTCCCAATGGCCAGAAAATTATCATCCAACGAGTCCTGACCGCCAACGCTGTACAGAAAATTCAGTTAAGATCTTATCTGAGATCAGTCTATATAGAACTTGTTTCTATTGGACGCCCACCTTAGAGTTTCCTCGGTCTTGAACCATTCGTTCTCGTATCCCTTCAGCCAAATGGGATTGGAGCCCTGCACGCTGTGCTTATTGGTGTTGGGCACTCGTGTCGCAGGCTCGTGGGGATGCTGCAGCGATGTGGAAGAGTGTCCACCTGGTGGCAGTTGGGAAAGGTTAGCAATGGCTGGGATTGTATTGATATCTCAGCTTACGAAATATGTTGACTTTGGCGGCGCGCAGCTGCCTCTTGTAGCCTTTGCGCTGCGATGCGCACAGCGCCAATGTGACCACCAGGAGGGCGGCCAGGAAGAGATTCGTGAACACGAGCCACACGAACATAGCGCCCTTCGTCGGGCTGGCCATGAGCAGTTGGGCCTCGGCGGGCTGTGTGTCCAGCACATTGAGATCCTTGAACAGTTCGTCCAGACTCTCGATGTGTGTATCGATTAGCTTGAGCACCTCCGACACCTCATATATAGAATTATCCTCGCGCTCGACTAAATGCATATATAGATCCGTCTTCGTCTTATCCACGGATCCGTCTTTATTTTCGTGCACCTTAATCTCATCAATGTTGACAATCGAGTCCGTCACGTTGCCCAGGGTGCTAATGAATGGATGTTAGTAATGAAAATAGATATATCTACGTATATAGCAGACTTACTCTCTAAACGTATCGATTCTGGAGCGCAGCTCGTCCGGCTGCAGTCGGAAGACAATGCGCACCTTCTGATCCTCGCGCAGCAGATAGATAAAGACGTGGGCCACATCGCGCATGCCCAGCGTGTCGTTGGCCAGCACCATAAAGTCAAAGTAGCCCTTCATGCCCTTCTGTGGATCGAAGTTGAGCTGCACGTCGCCAGTGTTCCGATCGATGAGGAACGGCTCCTTGCGCACGTTCTCCAGACCTTCGGACAGTGTCTGCCTTATGTCGCCTACCTGATAGTAGGTGATTTTCGCATTATCGCCCTCGTCCGGGTCAAAGGCCTCCACACGCATGAAAATCTGGCCAAAGTCAGCGTTGGTCGTGATGCCGCCGGTGAAGATCTTCGAGCGAAACTTTGGCGGATTGTCATTGATGTCCAGCACACGCACCCGCACACACACCACGGTGCTGTCCAGTTTCTCCGCACTGTTTGCATCCACATAGTTGTCGTAGGACAGCAGCGCCTCCGGCTCCGCGGATGTGGACATTTCGTACTCTAGGCTGGGGCCGCGCAAGTGGCGCGAGTGCTTGAAGCGATCGTAGCTCATCTGGCTCTGTCTGCTGTTCACTCTGCTGTCGATCTCAATGCCTCGGCTAGGGAGGCCATGCTCCAGCGTGTCGTTGGCGCAGTTCTCTGTGGCCTTCACATACAGCGTAAAGTTTGCAATCAGCTCTCGGTCCAGTTCTCGCTCCACAGTTAGCACATGAGTCTCCGGTTCCAGGCGGAAGTAGCCTGCCTCGTTGCCATGTAGTATGAAGTAGCACACTTGGGTGGGTGACTCGTCCGGATCGTCGAGATCCAT